GTTGGACTAGATGACCTCTGAGGTCCCTTCCAACCTTAAGCATTCTATGATTCTATGATTATTAGGTAAAACACGTCAGCACAAGAAGCACTAGGATTATGGCCCATCTCTTCCTTTCCCATCCTTCTCAGTTTGCTAATGGAGCACGTTTCAGTTCTTATTTTTCCCACTTTTCTTAGACCATAATGCCATAGCTTTATTCAGTATTTTTCCCATCCAAAGCTAAGCCCAGCCCCAGGGTCCCCCCTAGTGTTACGTGGGCTGGGTGGCAAGGTCAGCTTACGTGCTTGAAGTTCCTAAATGGCACAAACTGGACGATGTCTCGAAGCACAGGCTCGCCCTTGGGAGACCTCAGGATCCCGTCATCACCATCCAGCATCTGCATGTCGCTGAAATCGGCGTTGCCCACGCCCACGATGATGACCGACATGGGGAGGTGGGAAGCGTGGACGATGGCCTCTCGTGTGTCAGCCATGTCCGTGATGACACCGTCCGTCAGAATCAGCAGGATGAAATATTGCTGGAGTTGTTGGACAAGAAAYGAGAAAACATTCATGCCATTAGTTCATCTTTCAAAGCTGCTTGCTCTTATTTAGTATAAATGTGTTTCTGGTGATTGCTACCCATGAGTTTTTTTTAAAGAGAAGACAGTGGTTCAAAATTCAAGTGCATTTCACAGGCAAACTTCCTCAGCTACTAATTTATCCTTTGTTGGGTTTTAGCTCTAGTTCAGGTCATTTCTAGGAGCTGAGAGCACCAAGGAATGCAGAGTGCAGAAAAGGAGGTTCCTAGATGCAAGCAAAGGGAGAATCAGGACTTTGGGAAGTCTGGAACAGTTCTGAGCTCCTCACCAGCTCAATTTCCCATCTGCTACACAATCACTTCTGCTGACACTTTCTGATTACCTTTTTCTCCTTGGGAACGAGTGGGAGGCAGAGAGGAATGGGGTATTGAAGCATTTCAGGCCTGGAGAAGAACTGTCCGGAGGTTATGACAGTGCTTTGCAGAGGAGCCTTGCTAATAGGCAAGCAGAATGGTGCTGCCCTCTGCAGACCCCAGGGTGACCCTCGGGGTAGGTCTATTGCACTCTGCAGAGTAACGGGGTCTCTGAGGAGATGAAGGGCATGGGTGTCTGTGCACAGGGGAGACTATATCCATTTTCCAGACCCTTCACACTGAACCCTGAAGAGAGTTTTTCCTCCTCCTTGTGCAAAGGAGAGCAAGAAATTCTGTGTGCTTGTCATTGCATTCCCAAAGCTCCAAGGTCCATTGGACTAGGATCAAATGGTCTGTACAAATTCTTCATTTGGTAACAGAGAAGAGCACCACTTACTTGGATTCTTTATGAATTTTAGGGCAGCTGGCAGTGATTTAACAAATGTGTGTTAATAAAAAAAAAAAAACTAAGTCTTAGAATTTGGTCACTGTTGTCTAAGCAGTACCAACATGCAAAACATCACTAAAGTCTGCATGTAATTAGCTATAACATCTCTCACACGGTTTTATTCATTGCCTCTTGTCATAAGAAAAACAAGCACAGAAGCAATTTTATCCTGAAGAGTAGTGCCATAAATCAATTTATTTTTCAAAAARACCACTGAGTGGAGAATTTTAGGTTAAGGAGGAGGAAGCAACTTACTCAATGTGACATATTTGTTCAGTGACAGTACTGGGAACAGAAGCACCTTAAGATTAAGTGGGTATGGAGAGTCAAGCAGAGTAATTCCCTATTCTGGAACCAGGACTCTACATACTATTCACGGTCATGGAAGTGACACTGAAATGATAATCACAATCCCAAATTCATGCACAGAAAAATTTGGGAACTACTGCCATAACACGGCTTCAAATACAGCTCACCACAGGAAGAAAGCTTCAGGAAGGCTCCAGACCTGGTGAGCTGTAGCATGCGAGTGTACAGACCTATTCTATTCCTAGAGACAGTCATCTTTCCTTCTGAGGTACACAAGGATTTCTTACACCCTTGACTCCCACATCACTTCTATATTTATAGATGCTTCAGACCCGATGGCTCACATGCTTTCTCCTGTTCTCCTCTCATTCTGTCTGGAAGGCTGAAGGAAAATAAGCTTAAGGTATTTCATTAATACATATTTAAAATATGACCTATGCCTAAGCTTTTTAGGCTAAATATGGGAGTAGCCCAAGTGGATTTTAACCCAAATATCAGATGTAGGCTTGCAGACTTGTTTCTTGACTTCTAAAAGGCATGTGATACCGCATGTCAGTAAGAGCAAATTGACAACATTWTCAGTACAGTTTTCAAAGGAAGCAGTGGAGAAAAGCCCTAGGCRAACAAAAAGGATTTTAGCACAGCAAGATATTGGAAAGTGGGTAGATCACGGAAAGAAACACATCTCCTGGTATGATCAACACTTTTAGGGCCACATTTTTGCACTTTAGTGCTGCTATTTATGTTTTCTTAGTGAAGAACCAGGTGTTTTATAGAAATAAAGCTCTAAAAGCACGAAACAGAACAGCAGGAGGTGAGTTTCAAACTGTTAACTATTGATGGCAGAAAGGTTGGATACRCTGCTCCAGCTGACAGAGACTCAAGTTGTATTCTGTGAAGGCAGTTAATGAAAACTGTAAAGACATGTCTTGCACAGTTTAAAAATGCTGTTGTGGTTGTCTAGAAAAGATCCATCATACAACAAAAAAATAGCCAACACAGCGCAGTGCTCATACCGAGGCTTCCTTGGTGTTGGTCTCCTCCGATGCTGATTTGGCCACCTTCTGGATGATGGGAGCGATGTTGGTTGGCCCGTACAGCTGCAGCTTTGGAAGGCAGCTCTGATAAGCCTCCACCACTCCTTGGATTCCTGGTATGAAGAGCCACAAAAGGAAGAGGCRAGGTAGTGTGGAGTACAACCCCAATATCCAGCTTTTTTAAAGCGTAAATCAAGTTAAGTCCTTAATGAACGAATTCAAAATGCCACTTATTTAGCAAGAATTAACAACTTCAGATAGCAGAGAAGCTGTCTGGATGCCTTGAACCTGACTTGCAATATATAACTCAGTATAACACGCTTCTCCTTCCCAGCAGCTTTTAACGTGTATTTTCCAGGTAGTAGCTTGCAATGTAGTAGATTTCATCCGTCTCAGTTCAAGGTGTAAGTGATCCCTTGGCTGATATCATTYATGCTAAAAGAGTAGACACGCATCAGAAACGCTGACACGTGTCTGTGCTTCTCTTTAGACAAATACTTAGTTTTGTTTATTATGATCGTTACAAACAAATTTGTCCTTTGCATGTACTACCTAGAAAGAAATTCAATTATCTTTTCAAATGTCTTAATGTCTTATTCTCCAGTGTGCTAAGAATAATTTTTCATGTTGATTTTGCATAATCAATTAATGGTTGAATTTGACCGTGACTAAAAACCCCAAAACTGAGTAAACAGAAGGGAAAGGAAAGGAAAGAAAAAAAAAAAAGAAGAAGAAAAAAATAACTTCAGTTCTTTTGATGAATAAGTAGTTATTTTTTGCTTTTTCATTTCAGGATATATAGTCAGACCACGGAGAACCGAATTTTGTTGACATACTTGACAGATCACAGACTGGGAATTGGTGTTTTCAATCCTTGAGAAGAAGGATTTCTTGAAGTGATGCACATTAACTTCCACATGCAGAACTCCCAACTTACCAAAGGGATTAGAGGTCTAAAGTTGGAAAAAAAGGCGACAGACTGAAGAGCTTTAAAGGGATGCTGAAGAATTAAATGATTTCAATAAGATCCTAAGCTAGTCTCAATTTTCACTGAGTTTTCTCAGTCTTCACTGAGACTTGCTTACTCATAAGCTTTTACTCAATTACGTTTACAGGATATATGGATGCAGACCCACTGCTAATAAATCAGAGAGCTGTAATTACTTTACAAACACACACCTGAACCTCCTAGGTTGAGATGCTGGAGGACTTCTCTCTTTGCAGATAGTTATAAACATATTTTACATTGAAGCACTTACTGACAAAAGAGCACTCTCCAATTATATCTATGACTGGCTAAAATGTAATTCAAAATTTCCCTTGGTAATTCCAGGGACTAAATTACATACTGGAAAACTGACCCTTTGTTAGCTCCCCATTTTAAATTTGCTAAGGATCTCATTACATGTACTTGTCTTGCATAAAGACCTCATAAATCTTCACTAAGATGATGGCAAGATGCACTGTTTTTTTTTGTCCTGTCCATTCAAGTAATATCCAGACTTATCCCCATAAGTCTTATTCCTCTCATTCTGCACAGGTTTAGCTGGTTTGTGTCAGGGAGTTGCTTCCAACTTGGTAAAAAGCATGTTCTAGAAACATACATTTCTGTATGCAAAATTAGGTTAATATCTTTTAGATATATTGTCTCTCCTTATGTAGCCTAATCAATTAAGATGTGTGAGCTGCCTATTTGACAACTTTCTTTTCAAACCCTTTTGTTTTAAATAAGCTAACAGGGCATTTCTTCACAATTCAACCATAGTATTTTTTATTGCAATCCATTTTAATAGCTGTGTGCATGTGTATATTTGTATGCATAAGGATACATTCAGATTAGAGGTTTTCACTTTCTTCCTCACACCTTACTTTCACTTACTGTCTTCCATAAAAAGTCGGGCTTAAGGGTAGGCCTGGCTTAAGTTTAGGGTTAACTTTAGCCCTCACGTCCAGCTCACTACTTCCACAAAGACAGGGATTTCATTCCTCAAAAGCAAAGCAGGCATATAGTTTCTATATGGGGCCCAAACTCTGTTTCTCGGGTCAGACCAGGATGCTCCTCAGCAATTTACCCATGGTATTTGGCAAGTCTGAAAAATACTCCTAGGARTAACAGTATTGTAAAATAGGGCACTTCCTCCCTCGTCCATTCTTGGCCCCAAAAACAATCTCTTTTCACAGTGTGTGTTGGTGATACTGCACTCTGTGCTGTCTAATTTAGTGAGAACAKCTAGGAAAGTCAGACACATCACAGAACAATTGGCTATAGGAACTAATCAAGCATCCGTGACGGACAAGTGATGAGCAAGCTGCAACAGATGATTAAACAACATGTTTTCTGGTCTGTCTCCTTTTATTGCCTTCGTCCAACTGGATATTATTTTAAAAGGTATCATTTAGGAATCTAGGACAAAGGGTTTCCATTATCTTTCAGATGTGCGTAAGGATGCTGTAAAATGTCTTTCCTCGCTTTCCATCACGTTGTCACCATCTTTCTGTCACTTCTTAACCCTAAAACTCCTCACAGGTGGTGATTTAATGACTGAGTCCTATGCAAAGAATGAATCAAGCTTGCAACAATTGTGCAACAATTATTAACATTGACGTAAGCTAAGGCAAAGTTCCTGAAACAGTTCCTGAAACATAGTTGYATTTCTTTTTGCACACATAGAATAGAAGGTAAATTCTTTACTTACAGAGTGCTTTACTGTCCAACTTCTGGCCTGCTGTTTGGTACGATATAGATGTGACAGCCTTTTCACATATTAACCAATCAATACACATCATTATATATCAATTTCAGGGTGATAAAAGAATTAACTTCAAGATTGAAAGAGTGAGGACAAAGGAGGACTAAATTATTTTCTTCATATGGACTGATAAGGTTTTTTCCTGACTTCTGCAAAAGAATACAATCTAGATTTCCTAGAGCATCAAACATCTCATCAAGTTCCAGGAGTTTGTTTAGACAGGGAAACAAAGCTATATTCAAGCACTATATCATAAATACGTTATCATCTGACTTCTGATGATCTCTGTTAACAGAGATGTTTTAAACAGATTATGCCCTGTGATTTTGGACAGCAACAATCATCTGGCCAACACTCTCACATGTATTAGTTGGCGATTACTTGGCTAACGACCTAGGGATTATCGTCCTGTTCTCATCTCGTCTTTTACAACGCGTGGTGAATTTTGGCAGGAGATTCTAGAAGGAAAGCATCAGTCACTGGAGGACCTCACTTAAACATAGAAGACCTGAGGCAAATCTGCTAAACAAATCTGTCCTCTGACTAGTGGGAATTAGYGACTGTCACTAGAACACATCAATACATCATGCAGTGTCAAGACAAGCTCCCACTGGCATCGTGGCATTTGCTGCAATGAACGTGTGTTCCCTCCAACCACAGCTGTCCTCAGCTGCTGCCCTGGCTCTTCGTTTCTGGCTGCTCCTGAGCAGACTGGCAGCAGGCTACTGAGCTGCTGTTGATTTAGGCTGTGCTGAAGAACTGGCTCTGAAGAGGAGAGTGTCTTTGATAGAGTCTTCATGTCCTACCTTCCTTAGCTACAAAACTGTGATGTTGCTGTAGCTGAACCACTGTAAACCTGGACCTGGACGAGGGCACGGAATGCATCCTTAGCAAGTTTGCAGATGACACCAAGCTGGGTGGAGTGGCCGACACTCCGGAGGGCTGTGCTGCCATCCAGAGGGACCTGGACAGGCTGGTGAGTTGGGCAGAGAGGAACCTCATGAGGTTCAATAAGGACAAGTGCAGGGTCCTGCACCTGGGGAGGAATAACCCCAGGCATCAGTACAGATTAGGGGTCGACCTGCTGGAAAGCACCTCCACGGAGAGGGACCTGGGAGTCCTGGTTGACACTAAGTTAACCATGAGTGAGCAGTGTGCCCTCGTGGCCAAGAAGGCCAAYGGGATCCTGGCCTGCATCAGGAGGAGYGTTGCCAGCAGGTCAAGGGAGGTGATTCTGCCCCTCTCCTCAGCTCTGGTGAGGCCGCACCTGGAGTACTGTGTKCAGTTCTGGGCTCCCCAGTATAAGAGGGACGTGGAGCTTCTCGAGAGGGTCCAGAGAAGGGCAACCAGGATGATTAAGGGAATGGAACATCTCTCGTATGAAGAGAGGCTGAGTGAGCTGGGCCTGTTTTCTCTGGAGAAGAGACGGCTCAGAGGGGATATGATTAATATGTATAAGTTCAGGAAGGGAGAATGCAGGGAGGAAGGGGACAGGCTGTTCTCACTGGTGGCCAGCGATAGGACGAGGGGTAATGGCCACAAGCTGAAACACAAGAAGTTCCGTCTCCAGGTGAGGAGCAACTTCTTTACTGTTAGGGTGACAGAGCAGTGGAACAGGCTGCCCAGGGAGGTTGTGGAGTCTCCTTCTCTGGAGGTCTTCAAAACCCGCCTGGATGCCACCCTGTGCCACATGCKSTAGGTGTGCCTGCTTGAGCAGGAAGGTTGGACTAGATGATCTGTAGAGGTCCCTTCCAACCTTAAATATTCTGTGAATCTGTGAATCTGTAAACACCTGAAACAATTCTAAAAGAAGATGGCTTCATTTTCAGAAGGGCCTAGTGATTTGAGGGATTGCCAGTATTAAACAACCAACTTAACATACTTTTTAAGGGTTTGGTTTTCAGAAAATAAATGTGTGGCACTTGTATGACAGCTTGGCCTGTCAGGTTTTGAAACTCTTGTCTGTTTCCTTAGGAAAAAAAATTAACAATATTCAGGGAATACTATAAAAAATACAACAACATTTTGCATACAGAAAGAGTACAGTAATCAGTCTGTCTTGAAGTTGGTATTACCTGCACATTCAGGGTTGTCTTCATTGAAATTGATGGCAAAATCATGAGAGACCTGCAGATAAATGGAAAGAAAATAATTTTACTCCAAAAAATTATTCCAAGTGGGCTTGCATTTAAACATGTCTATCTTCTTTCTGTGATAAGAAAGGGATATTTCAAATTTTAAGCATTAAACATGAAATAGAGTGCAAGCTGGAGCCCTTGCAGAGTGAAGTAACAAGCCTGGGAACAAAGTTGTTAAAAAGAACAAGAAAAACAAGGAAAAAAGCACATAAAGAAACACCGAAGTATATGAGAACTCCCATAAATACATTGTGAGACTGATTACCAATGTCAGCCACAGAAGAATGYATGGAAGAATATATCTGAGGAGAGCTTTAAATACAGGCTCAAAAACTCAGGCTGCAGGGAGAGTTAAAGGAGGTCGTGTTGCAGTATTATAGAACTGTAACAGCACAGGCCCAGCCCCTTTCTGAATCCTTCATTCCTATGTGTGAAAAGTCATGGGACTACTGGGGAAATAATTCGTTCTCCAGAGAGATCAAGAAAATCACATGAACTCATTATGAAATAACGCAGTAAGAAAGGCAAAAAGCCTAAAGTCTCTAAGAAATTACAGTAGGTTGGGAGAAAGCTAATATGAGACCTAAGACTCAACATTTTTCTCAGATTTAGTAAATAGCCTACTCYCTCCCTCTCCAAATCTGTAATAAAATAGCACAGAGCTGTTTCTAAGAGAAATTACTGTGAATGCAAAGAAGTCACTCATCTTCTAACAAAACAGGTGTTATTTCTWTACTGGCTGTGAAAAGAGTACATTTCTATATGCCTAAATAATTTAAGACAATGTACATCCTGGTTTCTGTGCTTCCTTCGTCTGACTGTCACTTAGAAGTCTGCAGCCACAGCTCAGATCTCTCAGAACTGGAAATTTCTTCAGGAGTTCTTTTCTTGTTTTCAGGTTTGTTCTTGCCTACATTTCTTTACAACTTCCTTTTTTTTCTTTTTTTTTTTTTTCTTTTCTGCTACTTTTTTTTCATCCCTGAGAAGGCTTGATTCCTTTTAATTTCAATTCTCAAGTTCTCTTAATTTTCCATTTCTCATTAAGTGTCTTGGGTGAAGCCCAAATTTTGTTTTGTAATGCACCATGTATATATGCATGTATGTATTTTGGGTTGCAAAAAGCAGATATGGCTGAGAGTAAAKGCAAAATTTAGTCATCTGCTGCAATAAAACGTTTGCTTTTGGTCAAGCTGAATTCTAAGGTAAAGTGGAGTTCAGCTATGTCATCCCAGATGCATATGGGCATTTACACAGATAACTACAGTTTAATATCATCGAGAATTTAGAGATCTCTGTAAGACCTGCAGAAGTGCCAGCAGTTGTAGCCATAGGGAAAGTAACTTGCTTCGTACAATGGAACCTAGATTATTTGCAGAAAAAAAGATCTATTTGTTGGGTGCTTTATTTGCTAGTTTAGATGACTTCCATTTCTAGGACACAGGCACCACAGAGATTGCTCTATAAATAGATACTACACACAGAACACTTCTTTCTTTATATAATGTTGGATAGGACTTGTTAAATCCAACGAATTCAAATCAGTTTAACTCCCCACAAAGCAAATTCTCAAATGCGTGAGGTTTAGTCTCTACCCAGAACCAATCACAGCCTTTGTAATCATTGATATATTGTCCTGTGAGTGGCTCTTAGAGGGTGCATTATAGAAGATGAGGTAGGAGAGTTAAGCTTCTGTAACAGCTACAGAAATGCACTGACAATCCCCATCATGCTGGCTGTCAAAGTCAAAATTCCACCATAGCTGGAATATGGATGTAGTATGTATATGGAATGTGAATATTGTTGGGATATCAAATACATGATTACAGAGAGGCTTCTCTAAAGACAAATAATTTGGCTTATTATGCCCATAGAAAGTTTCATGATAGAGAAATGGGAGAACAATCAGAATTTCCCCAGCATATGCCCATCTTGCTCACCACAGCCACGAATACCTTTATTTATTAAAAGTTAAATAAATAAGGACTTCTACCATGCTGGGAAAGGACTGAAGCAAAAACCCAYTGAAGAGTCTGCAGCCAGCTCAGCCCCATCCAGGAGCCTGGTGTGGTCATCCCAAGTATCAGTTGCCTTTTCCAAATGCTTTACATGGACCACTCAGGCAGCCCTGCTTGTYCATGGAAGGTAAGGCAGAAAGTCACTACGTATGTTCCTCCGTGAGCAAGCCCAGAAGAGCAGGGCTGTCAGACACGCTTCAGAGGTGCTCCAGAGCACTTCTGTTTCGCTGCCCTGCACGTCTCTGGGCACGTTTGGTCCAGCTGGYATCTGCCAGGCTCATGACTAGCTTCAGGCCAAAGGTAATTGCAGCTGTCAAGAATGGTTATGTGAATTTTCACTCATTGACGTTTTTGTGTTGTTGCTCAATAGCCTTTCTGCTTCCTTCGGGCTTTCTGTATTTTGTATTAACTGCATCTCAAGAGCAAGAAGGATGGTGGTGCATGTATATATATATATATTGCTGGCTAGTTCTTCAACAGATATCTCTCCAGTGATTTTATTTCTTTATTCCTTATGCATTTGAAATTAATACCTAAAGGAATATCATAATTCTTTTCCAGAGCTATGAATACTGCATTTCAGTTACACAATGCAAGTGTGGACTGGATGTTTTTGTTGTATTGCCTGTTTGAGGATCACACTATACAAACAATTCACCTGGTTCACAGCTGTGGCACCCTGGCCTTTATTTTCAGAAAAATGTAGGTGCCAGATTGGGCCAATAAGGAAAGCCTAGGTTTAGTGCACCATGATCCAAAAAACAAACAAAACAGTCTAAGCAATTCACACTATTCTGTTAAAGCGAGTGAGCTTCATAGGTTGTCATTCATATTCACCAAGAACAATGTTAAAATTTATCCTGAAGGTAGGAGAGGAAACAAAACGCACAGAGCAATATTTGGCTGTTTCCGATGCTTTCTGAACAATTTATCAGATTTTAAACTATATATAAGAATAATGTGAAAGACAGAAGTTCTTGGGGCAGCTCAGTGGTGATTCACAAACAGGGAACCAACACCTGACTCGGGCCAGTGGCAGCTGTTTTTAAAGCAGGTTCTCCAAATGCTCRGGACATCTTTCCCTTTCAGGTAAGTAAAAACAGTTGTGCTTCATCCTGCCCATGCAGCATCTTCCCAGCAGTGATCAGAAATCAGCTGGTGACCAAACTTCAGGCACTTGACATGTATAGAAGTCTTCACTGAACTCGGGTTCCTGCTCAGTAGGACTCCAGGTGAAGCCCAGGCTTGTCAAAAAATGCATGCGAGTCTGAGCAGCTTTGGATCAAATATTCAACATTTCTGTTTTCARCTCTGTGCAGTRTAATGAGTCTTGCCTCCCCTTTTTTTTTAATGTAACATGCAGGAACTGCAGGAAAGGCAAACTGCGCTGATGCCAGAGGACCAAAAGCTGGCATCCTAAAGGCCTTTTTCTGCTGGAGAATAACACAGTTCTTATGTGCTCTCAGAAATGATAAGCTAGTAAGGAAAAGGAGGCAGAAGGGTGAACATCCAGGATGCYGAACAGCAGGAAATCCTTAGAAGGGACATAACCAGATTCTTGGCTGTTCAGACAGTGTTTGATATCAGTTTGATAACACAATCTACTGGGGTTCTTTGTAGGATGGAACAATTTAATAATTAGATAATCCTGAGCTACRCTAACCCACACAAACACAGAATGAGTGTGTATGCTACTGCCTGGCCCAAAGCTTTCCAAGGAATTAGAGAAATTTTGCAAGTTTAATTAAGGCAGCTGCCTTATTCATTGCAGAATTGCAGCCATAGCATTTCTGAAGCCATATCAACATCTCCAGACATTCATGACCAGTTTATAGAAATGTAACCTTGATTTTGACGTAGATAAGAATGTCTCCCTCAGCTTAGGACCTAACAAAATTAATTTTCATAGCATGTCCCCTGCTAAAGAGCTTTCTAATCAAAGCTGACTGGACAGTATAATTTCCTAACACATGAGAATTTTTGAGATTTCAAACAAACAACAGCAACAACAAAAAATAACTTCTTGACTTAGAAACCTTATAACACAAACAAAACCCTACCTGAGAATCTGCCAAATAGACAAAATACCCCCAAAAAAGCTTTATATATTGCAGGAATATATATAATCCTGGAATGTTTCTGGACTATGAAAGGCATTTTATTTAAGTATCATCATCAATATTAYTCTATTTTGCTCTCCATATCTTATTAACCTTTTTTTTTTCACTCTAACTTATCTTCCACTTTTGAAACAATTAGCTGCTTTGACTCAGAACCCAGACGTTTTTCATTCATGTCACAAATGCTAAAATAAGATGCTTCTCTTCTGTAAATCAGTAGGACTTTTCTTTTCTAGACTGTTACACTCATTTAAATTAACCTCCCTGCCCTAAATAACTCCAGTTTTCCAGAAATCTCTGTGGTGATGGTGCTGGGAGCACCTGACAAACAATTTGACAAATTCAACCATGTTTAGGCACACACTGTATTACTCATTCAAATCCAGATTGTCAAAAACCCATTAACAATAGAGTACTGAAGGCACACAAGCGTAAATGCTGAGATGCACAATGTGGAGCACTTATCTGTGAATAAATTGAGCACTATTAAGTCACTGCCAGTCTGAAAATTAAACATGGGGTGCTTGCATATTTTCTAAAAGCTTAGGACACTAACAAATTTTAAGAACCATCGCTCAAAAGCTATGATTTTCAGAATGCTCATTAATCAAATAGTTTGGGAGCCAGACAGCTTGCATTTGGCTAAGACCTTATTGCAGACATTTCTGCTTGGCAATGCGTCCTCATTTTATTCTTCTTTGTGGTTGATTTTTGAGCATGCCGCTCAGCTTCCACATCTATATCCATGTCCCGGGGATAAGGTGAAATATTCTGGCTTCTCACTTGGCCTGTTACATGACCTTCTATTGGTTTTTATTTCTAGGTTTGCACATATTATTGTCCTCAAATTCCCCCAAAGTGGGAGGAGGACAAGGAGCTCTGTGTTTTTCAAGTACATAACTTCTCTAGAAAACTCAGCTGTGCTGGTTAGGGTCATAAAGGTGCTTGACTGTTTCTATAAATCCAGTGAGGTTCACTTCAGTGACTCTTCCCGACATAAAATAATAGATGAATCTTTCCTTAAAAAGCAGATAGAAGAAGAAATGTTGTAAAACAACCTGTAAGTTGTTTCTTACCTATTCAGGATTTACATTTCTTCTTTAGGAAAGCACTCTTTGTTATTGATAACGCAGCTGTCACGGGGCTGACACAACTCTTTTCATTTTAACAGTAGGTTTTGTGGTGCTGTATGGTTTTGTAGCTGCTTAAATTCTGTCTGCTAATAAATCAGAGTGGTTAAGCTCTCTTTCCATCTTTTCATTGTGACCTTTTGCAGCAGTGTCTGCTGCATCCGTTTTATCTGCCACTTTACATCAGAGTTCTCACTGTAAAGATAAGTGATGAGTAGAAGACTCTGTTTGTGGAATAACCTGCATGTTCTGCAAGTTTGACATGTTATAAACTCAGCTAGAGAATATTGTTTCCTGAGTTTACTTAGATCAAGAAGCAGAGTTATGTATTTTGGGGGCCTTGAGGAAAAAGACTTTATTGCTGAATACAAGATGAATGATCTCTCTAGATTTATAAGGAATATTATATATGTTATGTCTGGCTTCCTTCATTCCCACATATTCCTTATGTCACTACAAAAACTGCTGTTTTTCTGATAACCGATGAAGTGTTTCAAGTGTTTCACTTGGAGCGATAATAAGGGAAAGTGAAGTCTATGTAACACAGCAGTGTGCTCATAAAGTAGAAATTCTGTAAAGTATATGTAAAAACATGTTTTTWAAAGGGTTTGCTCTCAAGAGATTGATGACGAGCCTGTGGTGATAGATGCTGCCGTTGTTCTAAAGTGCTAATGTAAAAGCGGGAAGGTTTTCTTCCACGGGGAATAATAATTGGCATAACAACCATTTCTGTCATCATAATGTGTAGAAGAGTGAGAAGAGGAAGCTGGAATCTCACAAAACGCACAGCTTCCCCCAGCACCCATGCCAGGCTAACAGCAGAAGCTCAAGGGAGCGTGAGATGAAGTATTGGGCTGTTGTAGCACCACAAAACCCTTTAACCAAGTAATCTAATGCCAAAAGAGTATTTCAGATGTTTTAGCCAATCTGCAAACAGTGGCCTTCAGCCAGGTATAAAGAGTCAACTGATAATTAAATGGAGACTCTATCTATGATTCATGCTGAATAATGAGTTACAGGCATTAGTTCTACTACAGCTTATGACTGAATATGATACAAATACGATCTGAGTGCACTCCCTTACTCTGCTTACTGCTTTTATCAGACTGCCTTCTCCTGGTCCTCTGTTTCATAGCCACACAGGTTGATAAGCTTTCACTCAGACTTTTATGAAAGTCTGTTTTTTTACTGCTGTTTTACAGTTGTGCAGAAGCTCTTTTGGTTCATAAGAAACTCTGGGCAACGGGACTTTTTTTTTCTACACCTCTGTCAGTTTGTTTTCTACTGGAACAATAAAATGTAGCGGCTGTGGTGTGCTGAGACCAGGGTGCTATGAGCAGGGTAGGTCATCTCATTAGGGCTGGAGGCTCAAAAGCAGGCACTCTGATTTAAAACGAAGAGCTGATCTATCTACATGATGGGGTCAGAAATTAGAAGTTCTCATAATGATTTGACATAAATTTGTAGATCCATATTATCCCAGTTAGGACACTGCTGCCCTTTAATAGAGCRCAAAATAAGTGAGACTTGTAGTAACTTTGGCTGAAAGCATCAGAAACCCCCACATTTGGATAGCATGAGATCTTGCTGTGCTGCCTGTAATGCTAGCACATGCTTACAGCAGAGGACAAGATGTTAGGGGAGATAAGTTGGGAACACTCTCTTCTGCATTCTTTGTTACTTCTAAGTATATCCATTTCTTCACTGTTTCCTACACATCTTGGCTAAATTCCATATCAAACATTAATCATTGCTGTTTTTAAATTAACTTGATGACACCAGTGTAGACTAAATTACAGAAGGATTTTCTGGTTTATTGGTCTTGACTTATTAATGCATTATGTTGAGGATGACTCCTTACTTTCTTAGAGGACATAGCTTTCAGTTTAGAAGTGCAGCCAAAGCCAAGCAGGGACTCCAAAAAGGTTTATACATTTTATGTACGGAGAGCAACCTGTAYGAACTGTAGAGAATAACACAAGGATGGACCAAAAAACAACAGAGATGATTATTAAATTGTATTCCAGTCCCAGCTGGATGTGCCCATGCTAGACACTAAACTCATTACTCGTCCCTYGACTGTTGCCCCTGCAGACTAGTTCTTGTCTTCTTCAAAGTTTCATTACATCAGTTACCTAATGCATATCATATAATTTTGCTTTTCTCATTTTCCATGACAACTTTCCTTAGTGGGATTAAAACACTCTATTCCGGCCCACACTTGTGTTGCCAKGGACTCTGTGACTTGTTTTGCTTATTCACTTAATCCATCTTTCCAAGTTCAGCATTACTTTTCCTGAACTTCTCTACATKTGATCCCTTACTCTCTTGCCCTCAAAGGTTAGTAATATGCCGATTTTTTTAGGACAACCCTCGCTATTATGCAAGAGTCTTGACTACCAAGTGAGATCTCAGTGCAGATATCTCACTTTCTTAGGAATACCTGCTTAAAAAGCTGTCATGAAAAGTATCTGAATACCAGGCCTGCAAAAGCAGAAGAACTGGTGGTGGTGGTGGACTGGACACCTGGTTACGGAGTCCCCTTGCACTGCTTTCCAGCTGCACTTGTCTTACAGCTGACACGTGAGCTGCTCTGGCTATCGGTGAAGAGGCTGTTGCACAGCACTCACAAAATGCCCGTGCTGACAACATGCCCATGTGACCCGAGGCAGCAATGCCACCACCTGGTTATCCTGCCTAGAAAAGACACAGTCTTRTACTGTGAATTCTCATCTACTGCCATCCCCAGTAAAGCAGTGAACAGGGTGCATAGTCAGCCAGTAACACCTTCCTTCAAGCGGTCTTTCAGGGAAGCGCCCTCCCTGCAGCTGGAGGAATTGCAAGTTCCCTCACACAATGATGGGCACCTCACAGCTGGTGGGACTGCTGGAGCACCACCAGGGTCACGTCTCTGCTCAGGACACTCACAGCAGCACTAGTGGCATTTTCAGGGATGGTTGGTATTAGGCATGAAAGACCAATCTCCTTGTGATTTACATCCCAGCTCACCCCATCAACACTGCTCCATAGCCCTGGATTGAGGAACACATGTTCACTGCAGAAGGATGGACATTTCAGAAGMAGCTACTGTGCTTCACTAATGTGTCTGCTGCTAGAAACTGTTCATTATATTTATTCTCTAAAACACTTTTCCTTGTATAACAGAGACAGTTATCAGCTGCTGCTGTACAATAGACACAGATGTTCTGCATGCATTTAGAATATTAAAATCTATATCAAACTTCTGGAAACTGTCTCTGATTTTGGAAAGCATTAGCATTAGCATTGCTGTTCAGAAATAGAGCACTGCAAAATGCTCTGTCAGACACAGTTCACTTTCTCATCATTGCACTTGTTAGCTAAGAAGTCGATGGTGTCAAGAAGTCAAGATTCTTGTGCAAAGCCAATTTGCCTATCATATTTGCTATACATCACTACTGGACACTCATGGAGATATCAGGCATACAAGCCATAAGGACACACCACTACAACTCTTTTTTCTGCTCACCTGCTGATTCCTGTTGCCTAACACACACTGCAACCCTTTCCAGGCAGAACTATTTGCATCTGGCCAGAGCTCAGCACCTCTGCTGCAGCCACAGCTATGAAAGGTTGGGCAGACAACCCAAAACAGGAGTCTTGGGGATACTGGATGAGGTCTGCATGACCAGGAGTCCAATGCTGCTGTTTTTCAGACAGCATTATTTGCAGAATCCCTAGCTAGCTTGAAGCTACAGGACTATCATCCTGCCCACACTACTTCTGTGTATTTCTCCTTACACCTTCTCTGTTGCATGATCCTCTTCTATTCCACTGTCTTCACTCCAACACTTCCAGAGTGTATAATTATACTGTCCACAACTAGTTGCATCATCACTCTGGATCACCTTTGCTCTTTTTTCAAATCTATTTATAAATACCACTTCTTTTTAGCATGGATACATGCTCTTATATTTCTATTCCTGATACTGAAGCTGACAGAGATTTGTCACAGAACAAAATTCTTCTCAAATATTTATTTTTAAGAAGATGTTAAATCTCTTCAGAATATAGCATCAGAGGGCTATCAGCATACAGGGCACCAAATGTGTTCTGTCAAACTAGGGCTCACAGACTCAAAACACGTTGACTAGTGTCGCTCAGAAAGTCAGTTTTCCTCTTACTAGATAAGCATCTATCAACAAAGGCTTGTCAATACTACTTGGTGTTTGGATGGAACACAACTATTTTACGTCTAATTTAGATTTCTAGTTTCAGTGAATTAGAAAACAACTGCGACCCTCTCCACAGCCTCAGTTGAACCATTTCTTGTGTCTAATAATCAAGGAATGAGAAAATGTTATTTATGCACTTACTTTGTATTCTGGGGGTATCCTTGCTCCAAATCCAAAGGCAGGGAACATTTTATCACTGAAAAAGAAAAAAAAAAACAGATGCTTTCAAAAAATGCATTATGTTACACTAAACATTCACTCAAAAATTCACTGAAGTGCAACAGCATAGAAAAGGCTTTTAAGTCAAGAGGGTTACATGGCAGACTGGACTGTAACAGTATTGCTGACCAGACAAAGAAGTGATATGCGAGATTTTTTAGGGGAACCCCTAATATTCTGGCAAGTTAGAAGTATTTGGAGAATATCTAATAACCAAGGTGCCTTGCACTTCTCTCACAACTGCGAAAACAGGTACATATTACCTCTTCTGTAGCACTACCTGCCTGAAGAGTGAGAGTGAGTTGTCATATTTTAGGGGTAATTTTAGTTTAGGCACTGTCTGTGCCAACAGTTTTTTTTTTTTTTTTTTTTTTTTTTTTTTGAGAAATAAGGAAATGCTCCCCCAGCTCAGAACAATGAGTTTACTGAAGAGGTGACTGTGAAATTAACAGTATTTCCAAATTTGGGTTCTTACTGCTGTGCATGCACAAAAGAGATTTCCTAAAATATTAGAAAAGGGGCAGACTCAAACTCAGCAACCTGCAGGCTCCATGAAGTTTTCCACCTATAATATCAGCAGCCTCACAAAAACACGGGACTATTTTCAATAGTGAGGCTGTTTTGCCCCAATTTGATCTTTAGGGACCAAAGTTCCTTATTCAGAAGCCCTGGAAATTTCAGGGTTGTTAATACTCTTTCAGAAGCGCATTGACGTCTTGGGCAGCGCCTCTTCCCAGCTGGCAATGTGGAAACACCAAGCTGTAAGGAATGTCTCGTCCCGGAGCCAGCAAGGCGCTTGATCACACTCTTGAGGTTAGCAAATCACCCAAACATAAACTCAGCTCCACAGAGATCCTGAAGCCTCATCAAAGTCACTGAGCTGTACCCTGGCATGCTGATGAATCAAATTCTTTGTAGGTTTATCTGATTCTGCACCTGGGGTTTCATGATCCTTGGAGAGGCTGAATTCGTATTACCTTTTCTGGCACTTCCAAAGATTTCCAAGACAGGGTAGCAGTTTCAAACAACTCTGCAAGTCATTTCCATTCCAAGTATGAAGTGAGTAACTCTAGACATACTCAAGAAAGATAACTGCACCCATCAGAAATGCCAGGTTGATTCTGCCTGGCAGATGCTGTGAACATCACTGCAATGCTTCTGATATGAGATAAAGAAAAAATGGATGGGCTTAAAACAAATCAGAAACAAGCTTTGAGCTTAGTAGCTGCAACAACGGGATGAAGAAATACTCACCTTTCCCAGATTACTGGGAAACAATCATCATTCCTACTTGATGGCTTAGCTCTCGTTTCTGTTAAGAAATGTAATTGCTGCATATATCTTGGGAGTGCAGTACTATGTACCATATGTTACACTGTGGGACAGTGGATGTTGGAAAGTAGGGCGAATATCATTTGCATGGTAATGAAACATTTTTTTTTTCCAAGAGATGTCAGAAAAAAAAGGAGCTACTGACATTTAATGCTAATCACCTGCCAATAGCCTTCTCTTTGATTAAACACTCCTGGAGGCAGGGAAGCCCTTGCAACGAGACACAGATTAGAATCAGGTTCTTGCCCCTTTTAGGAGGCAAGAACCCCCCCTACCCCCACCTTTTAGGGGGCAAGAAATAGGAAGCCTCTAGAAAACATTCTGAATGGAAAAAGCCTCTTGTTTTCCATAAACAGTTAAACATGGTAGGATTAGGGAATCAAATCCTGTGAAGCTTCAATTTAGTTGATTTGGGGAGAAATAAAAAAGATTTAAAAAAGAAACTTTGGTAGAACATAACAGTCTAAATCTAACAAAGCAATCCCTATAGCTGACGTTGGCAGCACTTACTCAATCTAGGAAATGCCTGCATCCATATGGTACCTGTGCTTTGGATGCCAGTCTTTCCTGGGTGTAAGCAAGTGTAGGCACCCTTGTCTTTGCACCTCCACTTTCTGGTCTGTTGCGAGTCAGAGACAGCAGTGAGTGATACCTCTAGCAGCCTGCTCTCTTAGCAGGGAAAAGAGAAGACCTGGATTTTCCTCCCAATTGCGAGACTCCCACGTTCCCTGCTACACAGTGGTACAAGTCCCCGCAGGAAGTTACCCGGAATACGTTAGGACACCTGCCTCTGTGTCTGAGTCTCCCATATCTCCTTTTTTCTTGAGCAAGTGCCAGGTACTGCTACAACCACCTGGTGAGAAACTTGGCCATGTACGCAGTCACTCTCAAGAGGGGTTTCCACAGGGTTATTTTTAGGAGGGGAAAAGCACATAAACTCAAGAGGATGGTGATCCTGTGGTCCACTCCTGTGCTTTCTCTAGCCGCATTCTGGGCAACCCAACCCTCTGGAGTTTTCCCCTTGGAAACTCCTCATTTTCCAGAGTTTGGGTATATGCATCTGCAATGTGACAGAGCCTGCTGACATCAAGCAGGTTAGCAGAACCAACTGTCAGGAGCTCCCGCAGCTTCATCTTTAAGGTAAGAAGGGATCTTTCTGATCAGGGCTCATCACATCCGTCACACAAAAAATGCAAGATCATGCCATTCGCTGACTACACTGCAAAATTTGTGGCTGACTTTCAGAATAAAATCCAACTTTGAGGTAAATAATACTTTACATCCTATCAAAGTGCTTTGCTGCTATAAAAGACACACTCTGCACTAAGGACACAGTTTAACCGCTTAGTGACATTTTACAAAGTGAACTACTCCAGCCTTGCCGTTTACATCTCATTTCATCACACAGGTTAAAAAACTGCAGCTCAGCCTGCTCCCCTCCTTCTGCTTATTCTGCACTACTAAGACACTGCAGGGCAAAGTGACCTGGTAGGCAGCCAAGGCTTCTCTCTCTCCCAAGAGATCCCTGCTGGGATGAGGGCATGGGAGAGCTGCTCCCTCAGGCCCTAGGAGAGCAGCTCGAGGCAGAAGGCAGGGCAGCTGCCCAGCCTTTTGAAGTTACGTCCAGGGCGAGGACACCGGGGACTGAGACGATCAGAAGATGAGAAGGCCCCTTCCTCTTGCCCCAAGTGCAAACTGCAAGCATCACAGGCTCCAGCCCTGGCTCCCAACCTGGTACTGCAATAGGAAAATGATCTGCTGTAATGATTTTTCTTCCTCTCTAATTTAAACTGACTCAAAGAGCTGCAAGTGAGAACCAGATTTATTTGTCCTTTGTGTTGCTTGTCCAGACATCTAGGCTACATTTATATAGGAAACGAAATGACCTGGGCCCCTGGCTGCGGCACTGGGATGTGACTACGCGTGTGGTTTACTTGTCAGTGCTCTCTCTGTGCTCACACCAAGCAGCACCTCACAGCCAGTTCCCACAAACAGCAGCAGGGCAGCTCTGCTCCAGACAACTCCCGGGTGGCAGTTTGGGTGTCACCACTTTAATTAAGTCAGGGGGAAGAAAGTTCAGGTACGAGGGMATGGGCACGTCCTCAGCCTCCGACCCAATAAAGAGCTTTCCCTTGTTTTATTTAGATGCACTCCAAGAGTCCTGGGCAAGGACAAATAAAACACCATCCTGCTGGAAGGAGATGGCTAAAGGGACAGGAGAGCAAAGTGAAAATCGGAAAGGAAGGTGGCACTATGAAACCTAAATCTCCCAAACTCAAATCAGAAGAGGATCTTGACTTAGCAGRCTCATTATAAAAATTACTGTCACATTTGCTTCACATTTTATGTAGTTTTCTGTTTTACACAGAGTTCCATTGAAACTTAAAATTAGGCATAATTTCCAAAAAGATGAAGTACTTGACATCAAGATGACTGAAAGCAGAAGCATCAATTAGCCTTGACAGGGATTGCACCTTTTGGAAATTTATCTGAAAAGATCATTTGAATTGCACAGTTTTGGAGTTTTATATCAGATTATATAAGGGCCATGAGTAGGCAAGCAAGCATAAAGGTAAATGACTTCTGGTCCTTTTTCTATGCCAAACAGATGTACATGGCTAAAAGATAGGAAAGAGTAACTGCAGAACAGGAATATAGTCTAAAATCAGGGATAAGGTTTCAGGTTCATTGTACAGAATGGCCAATTAACGCATACAAAAAGGGATTGTTAGGACTTGAGAAGTGCAAAATATAACCATTTAGAGAGAAGTATTTGAGTAACAGCACTGCATTAATATAACGAATACCAGAAAAGAAATTCTGAAAATATCCCATATTTTCCTTTTGTAACAACGCTCAGTTTTAGTGATTCATCTCTCCAACTACGTAGTGGAAACAGAGAAAACACAAAGATAAATCAATATATTAATAGAGGAAAGAGTTTTCGGTGAGATGTACTGCACAGACAGCAGAAGAGATGAACAGAGGTAGTAGTAAGGTTTTATAAATTAGTAAGTGTTAGAGAGAACGGGACCTTTTTGTGTGTCGCTAGTAAAGCCAGCATTAGTGTAAGATAAGGAATACATTTAAAATAAAGAGATAAAGAACACCTAAAAAACATGTMTTATTAACCACTAGTGCCCTCTGACATATGGAATCACTGTACCTTAGAGTTCAGCTGTAGTCTGAGAATGGTTTGGTATTCTCAGAAACAAGGAGAATTCAGATGCAACCTGAGTAAAACTTGAGTTTTTCCAAGGTGAAATTATTCTATAATCAGATATTAAAGAGTATGTTACAATTTCCTCTGAAGCTGCTGGCGAAGATAAGGCTGGAGACTCTGAATTAGACATTCATTCAATGGGCCAACACCTCAATTTAGAAAGAAAATATCTGCCAGGACTAGTGTCTCTAAAAATCAGTTCTTTTTTTCTTTAAAAAAAAAAAAAAAAAAAAAACCAACTAAACTGGAGCTCTTAATTCCTTAACTATAGGGAGAAATGTTGGGGGAATAAAAACCATCTCTAGCTCATTCAATATACTACCTAAATGATCTGTAACATGACTTCTGGCTAGCCACTTAAGCAGAATTAGTCTTAATGCTGTTCACCAGAACCCTTTGGCTGCTGTTAAGCAGGGCAGATA